CTGTTAGTGAGGATCTGAGTCGAAAGCTGCAGGAACAGCTCCTGCTGGAGCAGGAGAAGAAACGGAAGGAACAAGAATCTCAGGAAGAAGAGCTTCGGAAGCAGCGGGAGGCTGAGGCTGAGGCCCAGGCCCAGGCCCAGGCCCAGGCCCAGGCAGAGGCTGAAGCCAAGGCCCGTGCAGAGGCCCAGGCCAAGGCTCAAGAGCAAAAACGAGCTGAAACACAGAAGCACCAGGCCGAGAGGGAGCGCGAGACTTCCGTCAAGATCTACCAGTACCGGAGGTCTGTTCCTATAGCTGAAGGGCACCGTGGTGTTTGAAAAGTGGTGACTTTGTTTTGTTCACCCTGTATGTCTTTCCTCCTCTGTCATGCTGTCTTTGCTTTACACAGCTGAATCAACCAGTTCCAAGGATCCTTTAAATCACAAACAGCAGTGTGTCTCTTTAATTCCTCAGCTCTTGCATGACTTCCTGACATATTGCAAAGCCATCAAAACTCTTTGCCAAGGCTAGAAAGCTCACGTGAGCTTGGTGTTGCCTAAGAGCTTATTAAGATCTTTTAGCCCTTAGCATTTAGGCTCTTGCCTGGTTACTGTCTGCCTTCTTCTGATGAAAATGCCAGCAGGCCTTGCCTTGGACTTCAGTGTTTTTTACCTTTGAAAATGACTTCCTTCATATGTGTGTGGCCCACTTATTTGATTTCACAATTTACCATTAGCCTTTCCAGAATACCCGATTCTGCCTACCCACCGTTTCTTTCTACACCACACTAGCCTTCATTATTTTCTTCTTGGCCTGCCTGTCCCAAGAAGATGTGCTATAAAGCAAAAACTAAAAAAAAAAAAAAAAAAATTCTTTAGCATCATTACCAGAATATGGGGCTCCTACCCTGCCCCCACTGCGAATGTATGACTGGACTGCACATGTGATTAGCAACTGGCCTGTAGGTCAGTTTTCTGTAGCAGCTGACTGAAATGCCATAGACAATTTGCTTAAAGAGATTAGAATACTATTTTGATATCCCTAAAGTCAGGGAATGTCTTAAAGTTTGGTATTTTAATAGAAAAAAATTTCCTTTTTAGGCCTATTGATTCCTACGACATTCTGAAGAAAGAGGAGGAATCTTCAGGGCTGTTTGCTAGTGACAGGTGTGTGGACTATCGCCTTTTACTTGTTGACTTCAGATGAATTTCCCTCCGTTCACCAAGGTGATCTGTAGAGCTACTGCAGCCCTTTGTCATTTGGAATACAAGAAAAAAAATATTTGAAGATTATTCTTTGTATCACTCAGATTTTGCTGTGTAAAAATTACCTGTAAACTTAGCTTAAGATTTTTGGGACTCAGCATTTTGCACTGAGCTCATTTGGAAATTTTGGTTGTCTGGGCTTAGTCACATACCTGCTCTGCTTTGGGGAGTTGGTATAAGTGGTGTAAGTGTCTGGGGAAATGAGAGTGACTATAAGAGCCCATGGAATCTTATATGCATGGTGGGCTGAAAAGAAACAGAAATGACAAAAGATAGTCTCCAAGACACCTGCGATCTAAGCTATTGTTCAAACTAAAGTCAAAGGCTGCTTCAAGCGAGAGTTGTTTGTAGCTAACAAATGTTTGTAATCTAAGGACTCAGGTAGCTGAGATAGAAGGGTTGATGTGAGTTCGAGACTAGCCCAAACGACATAATGAGTTCAAGGCCAGCCTAGGCTACCAAGCAAAAAATCTTTCCTCAAAAAAAAAAAAAGCAAACACAAACAAACAAACAAACAAAACACAGAGAAACAAAAGTTGTATTACTATCCTGCCTTGTGGGAGCAGTCATTTTAGAAGATGAGTAGACAAAAATTGTCCCTTTTTGGTCATTCAGAGCAGTGTTTAAATTTTTGAGACAGGGTCTCAATAGGTAGCCCAAGATTGCCTGGTACTCACTATGTAGCCCGGGCTAGCTTTCTTCCATCTGTGTTGGGACTACAGGTGTGTTTCTCCTTATCCAGGAGACAATTTTCTTTAAAAAGGCACAATGAGTCACTCAAGATTACCTAAAAATGATAATGTTTTGGGGGCATCTGATGAGAATTGTGACCTTTCTCTTAGTACTATGAAAACCACTGGTCTGTTTTGGAAAGAAAAACAGAATTTTAGCGATCAGAAAAGGTACAAAGTACATGTGTTTAAAGTTTCCTAAAGCATTAAGCTTTAATATTTGCAAGCAATTAAAAAAAAACACTTTGCTGTTTTGAAACCACTAAGGACTTTTGAATAGCCCATCTGTAGATGTCCAGTCTGTGGGCTCATTAGCCTCTGCTCGCAGAGCTGAAATGCTCCCTCTAGGATGCTTGCCTGAGTTATTAGATACAAGGAAAGAGGCACATTTACTGGCAACTGTGGGGGGAGTGAGAGAGCTCAGAGGACAATGGTGGAAGTGTGGGAATAACTAGGTAGGAATGACATATTCAATAGCTAGCAAAAAGCCTCTCAATAAATGACCTGATTGTGGTGAACCCCTCCCCCCCCAGAAACTAGGTAACATTAAAATGTCTGCTCCCCTTTCTCATTGTTTTATTCACTTTACATACTTTATTTCTCAGTACAACTCTATGAGAAGATATATTTAGTCCTATATTTTAAATATGGGATGAAACAGAAACTTGCATAGGTTGACAGTTGGCTAAGAGCCCCGAGATGAGAAAAGCTAGGAATCACTAATCTATCAACTTTCAGTGTTCTGCCTAGAATGCGGGTAGTGAAAAGCTAACTAAGAAAGAAACCAAGCCAACATAAACAAACAGAAGGTCAGAATTATGATCTGAGCACTGGGGAGGAGGAGGGGAGGGGATCTCTGTATGCTCAAGGCCAGCTTTTACTGTACATCTGTCTTTTAAACCTCTGGTTGGATCTATATAATTAGGGAGTATATAATATATATATATAGTAATATAGAATACTATAAATAGTGCTATGTATAATACATAGACTCTGTATATATTATGTAGCACATACCTTATAGGCATTGGTGAGTGCAGCCTGACATCTGGTGACAAGCGTTTTCTTTGTAAAAACAGGCATGACTCGACAGATGTAGCTGTCAGTTATAGCACGTTATCGCACATTATAGGTTATTACACAGGATGCAGACATATACTATATATGCACAGAACATCTGTATATGGCATTGTTACTATTTCTGAAGTTCCACTGATTTGTAGAATGAGGAGATGAGCCTGTGACCTTGTTCAGACCTTCAAACAGCATTTTCAGAGTAGCCTGCACAGTCAGTATGCCTCACTACCTATTTGGAATGCCAGGATAGCGTTTGGCAAATGGATGAATGATCTGTGGCCTCCTGGTGCCTTTATCCACATCTTGATGCCAGGTGGTATGGAGGAGGCAGCACAGACTGACTGAGTGAGCTGGTGGCTGGTGCAGGAGCCAGCATGGACAGAGCAGTCTCCACCATTTTAGGAAGGAGAGAGGGTTCCACACATTTTGTGTATTTCCAGCATTTCTTCGGTTTACTGCTAGTTTGCATAATGTGAAAAATTCCTTGGTTCAGAAATAAACACATCTCCCAAAAGACATAGGAAATAAATATCTACTTAAAAATAAATCTTTGCCAGGAGTAGTGGCGCATGCCTTTAATCCCAGCACTTGGGAGGCAGAGGCAGGTGGATCTCTGAATTTAAGGCCAGCCTGGTCTACAGAGCAAGTTCTAGGACAGGCAGGACTACATAGAGAAACCCTGTCTTGGATAAACAAACAAACAAACAAAAAACCAAAACCAGCTTTTCTGGAATAAAATAAAAATGTTAAAAAATGTTAAATGTGACATATTTAATATATTCTGTTTTAGGAGTAAGTCAAGATCTACTACAGAACTAAATGATGCTGCCACAGAGAAAAATGGTAAGTGTGATGTTTGTATTCAAACTTTGTTCAAGGTGGTCATATACTATGATTAACATTTTTCAGTGCTGGAAACTTTAGATTCATTAGTATTAGATGGTTAACATGCTATTTTGAGTAATTGCAATAAATAACTAGTGTTTATTTTGGCTTTCTTTATAATAGAGAGAGTACTGCACTGGGGCATTTGAATGCCTAAGAAATATGTGGGATATTTGCGGAGAAAATGTTGACGCCACTTTGCATAGTAGATTTTATCTTGCAGCTAACGTATGAGGACAGGAAGTAATGTTGTAGAGGATTTAAACAGTTCATATAAATCTGAAGTCATTCATGTAGATGGCAAAAGGTCTGAAAATCCAGTGATAGGGTTTTTCTTTTCATTATTGAAAATCATTTGGAACTTGGAGCTTGATATAAAATATAGTCCTGGTTAACCCCACATAACTGAAATTACCTAAGAAAAAGCCCTAAGCAATAGCATCATATGTGTAGAGTTTGCATAAGCAAATTATTGGTCAGTTCTGCGCATGAAGAAATGTTCAGGCGAGGACTGAGGTGGACAGAAATGCTTTGGCTCTGTCACCGGCCTCTAAGGCAATTCACATCTCTGATGCCAGCTATTTCTGTTTTTAAAATGAATAAATAATAATGTGTGTTCTGTGTATTATCTTTAAACTGCTGAGAAGGAATTTTTTAAAATTTAAATCTCACTATAAGAAAAACATTGTTTATTTCATTGGCCTGGGGTCTGGTGGCAGCTGATAGGTGTGTGGTCAAAACTCATAAAATTAAGTTTTCATTAGAGTAGGTGGCAGTTTCATTGAAGGTAGGACCTTCGGTTCTCTATGCCCTACTTGACTTGCCAGCATTTTGGGCTCACCTTTCCCCCCAAGAAACACAGCTTTAAACTTTCTACATCTCTTATGTCTTCACTCAGCACATACTTCTAATGAGTTCCCTCTGGTCTTTGTATCTTTTCTATTTGGATTTCCAGCTCTTCTCCCTTGAACTTGACCTAGCCACTATTCAAATTATAGATTAAGTACACTTGTCTTGTGTGACACACTTTCAGTCTGTGGTGTTTGTACTCTGCCCCAAGTGAAACCTAGTTGGCCTGTGCGCACCTGTGACCTCTGAAACAGCTGCTCATTGTGTTTTGTGTCTCACCGGGTTGCTGGTAATGTATTCTTTTGTCCCTGTGCCTGCCACACCTCCTTGAATTAGCAGACACTAAGAAATGATTACATATTTGATGGGATGACTTGGTTATGCCATTAATGTACACTTAAAATGAAAAATGTTTTATTTAAAACTAGCACATTGATGTTGCTATTAATATACTAAGTGTAGGTGTGTACTAAAAAGCAACAACAACAAACTTCTGTGGCCTGGCTCATTGCCTACTTGAAGAGATACCTAAACAAGCTAAATATTCTGAAACTGTGGTAATAACAATGAATTTAGAGAAGAAAAAAAATCCTTAGTTAAAATTTTCTAATCCCAAACTAAAGCAAGGACGATGCCTCCAGGTTGCATGTGTTTTACATAAATAGGCAATTAGTCAGAAAACCCTGGGGATGCAAGCTGACTTAATTACCACTAATAAACTTAATAATTATATATGTATTACAGTTTATAAATTTTTTAGAGCACAAACAAATCTGATAATATTATGGACAATTATTTTCTCTTGTTCACCAGGGCTATGTCAGTGACTGATTAATACCACCGTGTTGTCATTACTTATTCTTTGGCTTATACCATAAACACTTAGCCCCTGCCAACTAGGGATATGTGCTTTTGGGCTGTAAGGGGAATTCCCTGTTTCCATGCAGACTGTTTGTAGCGAACCTTCAATGAGTGCTCTTGATTGAGAGAAGGAAAAGATAGATGCACATTTTATAACTCAACATGAACATTACAGTTCTGGGATCTATAGGATTTGTGTGTGTGTGTGTGTGTGTGAGAGAGAGAGAGAGAGAGAGAGAGAGAGAGAGAGAGAGAGAGAGAGAGAGCACCCTATGGACATCTCTTCACATGGAACTGGAGTTTTCTGGGCTAGGAGGCAGCTAGTTATGCTGTCTTTGGAGCCTGAGCCACTATCATTTCTTGTGTTATACTTACTACTGAAGCTTTTGGTATGTTCTTAATTTAGGAAGCAGCAAATATTCAGACAGAATTGGGACTACTAGCTTTTCACAAAGGATCTCCAAGAAGGATCAAGGCCCCTCAGAAGCAGAGTTGGAGAGACAGCAAATCCTTCAGGAAATGAGGAAGAGAACATCTCTCCATAATGACAACAGCTGGATCCGACAGCGCAGTGCCAGTGTGAACAAAGAGCCCATCTGCCTGCCTGGGATCATGAGAAGGTACCAGACAGTTCATGATTTTTTGCTGTGAGGCAAATGTCTCATTTCTAGGTCTTTTTTTTTTCCTTTATGGCAGTAAGCTATTATCAGACACAGTTGTTGTATCTGGCCCATCTCATTTAAACTGGGGGACAATGAATTTGGAAATGGGACTCAGATAACTAAATATGAATTGATTCTTTCTTGTGTGTTAAACTTGAAGAGAAGGAAGCGTACTTGTGTTCATAACCAGGCTAATGGCTAGGTTGGAATCATGATAATTGGGTTCACAAAAACTGTGAAAAAGCTAACTTGGTAACTTTGAAGACGGTGAATATGTAGATACAAGTTGGAGTGAGTGGCTGGGCATTTTAAGAGACCTATGTTGGCAAATAACACTGCAGCCATTCTGTCAGCGCTCTGTCTGACGGCTGAGCTAGGGAAACTTATTTGCAACATGTTTCAGATAAAGAACCAATTATTTCAATATACAAATAGCTGTTTTAAAACCAACAGGTAAATCCTAGTCACTTTATCTATGTGTGTATCTATGTCTGTCTATCTGTATCATCTAAATTATACAAGTGATGTGAGGAGGTAGTTCATAGGAAACAAACAAAATCAGTAAATATATAAAAATCAATGCCACTCCTCAAGTGACAATGACATATCCTTTTGCTTATGAAATTTTCACAGTATTAAGAGATTGATTAAACAAGAGATTGATTGGTACAGGCAATGCATAAGAAAGTAAGAATTCCTTTTTCCAATGATTCAATAATTTTTCATGGTAAATTAAGCAAAGGTGTGCCATTTCCTTAGTAGGGTTCTATTTTCTAGATATTGTAAATAAACATACAAAGATAAAGATGAGGGTATACAATATTGGAAATATTAGAAAAACAAATCTCCCCACTCTATCCCCATCCCCACCAAA